CACCGACAGTGTAAGATACTGTGGTGCCAGCACCTGTTATTATTCTGCCTGTGGCAACAATGAATGACGATAAGAAACCTGTTTTTCAAGATCCTGTAGAACCTATTTCCACACATAAGGGGGAGCAACAACAACCTCAAACAGATGATGTGCCAAAATGTGGAGGCCCCTAGAAGGTCTCAAAGAGTTAGAAAATCAGCTATTCCTGCTGACTATGAAGTATACAACACTGAGGAATTTCAAATAGAGGATGATCCCACCTCATTTGAAGAAGCCATGAGAAGTGATCATTCATCAAAGTGGCTTGAGGGCATGGAAGATGAAATGAAATCTATAAATGCCAATAAAGTTTGGGACTTGGAAATAATTTCTAAAGGAGCCAAAATAGTAGGCTGTAAATAGGTCTAGAAAACAAAACTTGACTCTCAAAAGAATATAGAGAGATATAAAGCGCGACTTATGGCAAAAGGCTTTAGGCAAAGAGAAGGGATTGATTATAATGAGACCTTTTCTCCAGTCTCATGTAAGGATTCCTTCAGAATCATAATGGCATTAGTGGCACATTACGATTTAGAATTAAATCAGATGGATGTAAAGACGGCATTTCTCAACAGGGACTTAGAGGAAAATGTTTACATGGCACAACCTAAAGGTTTTGTCATGGAAGAAAAAGAACGAATAGGATGCTGCCTAAAGAAATCCATTTATGGATTAAAACAAGCTTCAAGACAGTGGTACTTGAAGTTTGATCAGACAATAAGAAATTTTGGGTTTAAAGAGAATATAGAGGACAATTGTGTCTATGCAAAGTTTAAGAATGGGAAGTTTATCTTCCTTGTCCTATATGTGGATGATATCTTACTTGCTAGTAGTGATGTCAGTCTACTGCTGGAGACAAAAAAGTTTTTGTCCTCAAATTTTGATATGAAAGATCTTGGTGAAGCTTCGTTCGTTCTAGGGATCGAGATTCACCGAGATAGAAGTAAAGGGGTATTAGGACTGTCACAAAAGGCATACATAAAAAAGATCTTAAAGAAACTCAATATGCACAAATGTAGTCCCTCACCTGCTCCTATAGTCAAGGGCGACAGATATGGGGATTTTCAATGCCTCAGGAATCAGTATGAGATCGATCAAATGAAAACGGTTCCATATGCTTCAGTTGTCGGAAGCTTGCAATATGCTCAAGTATGTACGTGTCCTGACTTGGCATTTGTTACCGCGTTACTTGGCAGATTCCAGAGCAATTCTGGAACAGAACACTGGAAATTAGTAAAGAAAGTCTTGCGATATTTGTAAGGAACGAAAAGCCTCATGATGACATATAGAAGATCAGATTCACTCCATATAGTGGGATATTCAGATTCTGATTATGCGGGAGATGATAGAAAATCCACGTATGGATATGTATTCACAATCGCAGGGGGAGCTATTTCATGGAAAAGCTCAAAGCAAACCGTCACTATATCGTCCACAATGTATGCTGAGTTTGTAGCGTGTTATGAGGCAACGGGGCAGGTGAACTGGCTAAAGAAGTTCATACCCGGTTTGAAGGTGGTTAACGACATCTATAGACCACTTAAGTTATACTGCGATAATAATCCGGTAGTACAGTATGCTCACAACAATAAGTCAAGTGGTGCTGCCAAACACATTGACATAAAGTATTATATTGTGAAAGATAAAGTCCGAAATCATGTCATAAGTCTTGAGCATATAAGTACCGAAAAGATGCTCGCGGATCCGCTTACAAAAGGCTTACCACCCAACGTGTTCAGAGAACATGTAGCCGACATGGGTTTAAGGGAAAGCCTATAATTCCTAGACAAAAGAAGGCCCAAAGTTAAGTATCTATTTCAGAACAGAGTGGTGTGTTGTAGTTGTTAAATCTATCGGCAATTGACCGTGACGATGAAACATGCTCTATGGACTAATCTGCAATGGAATGAACAAAAGTAAATAATATGAAATTGAAAGATGGTAGGAGATCAAGGGGCAGATTGTTAGATTGATCTCTAATTCCAAACTGGGCTCAACGACCCAGTTGGGCCTTTGATCTGCGCCCTGATCAGGGGCGCCCAGCCCACTATGGCTGGAGGGCCCCTGTCATACTGCGCTATATATAGAGGTGGGGGCTGGCGGCTCTGAGTACGAGGTTCGCCTGAGCTGCCTAGCACCCCACCTACAGTTCTAAACCCTAGCCGATCACAGAGGGGGCGCTGCCAACGACGGGAAGCACCGCCACCGCCTCTACATCTCGCCGGAGGACTGCTACGACGCCAGGCTGCCCTACAGAGTCTACACTGACCCCTAACGACACCGCTACTCCACTACCACCGGGTTATGGCCAAGCATTGCGATGGTGAGCCCACACTACATCAAATATGATTTTCAGGGGCGGCTAATGAGCATTTGTAGGGGCGGTTCGGCCAGGTGCCCCTACCATACCATCTCTACAAATCATGCATTTGTAGGGACGGTTCCCAGACCGCCCCTACAAATTTATTTGTAGGGGCGGCTTGTGTTATCAGCTGCCCCTACAAATCAATTTAACCAGCCGCCCCTAAAAAATCAATTTGTAGGGGCGGCAACCATCCCTACAATGCATTTTTCCGCCAAAAAAATCAAATTACCAACACATGCTCCCCCAAATCATCCTATGCGTTGCAACGGAAGAAAAATAAATCAATTTAGCTGAGAAATAAGGTGATGAGGACCATCAGTTGTAGTAGTCTTCAACCGAAATGCCAAACACAATTGATAAGGGCTAGTGCAACTCCATGTCTCCATCAACCTTAATCAGAGTTCAAATGATACAACTGCCAATGTTCCAGATAAGGAAACAACTGAGGATCTAATAACCACCATCAAACTCCGGTGATACAAGCTAATAATTGGAATCCCTAGACTTCTTACACTACTCAATTCATCACTCTGGGGAAACATCAGTGCCTTCTCCTGGGTGAGGTTCTTGAATAGGCTCTCGGCGGTGATCTCATAGAAACACAAAAGTACCAAATAAAATCAATAATATTTCATTTAGTTAGTGGCTGAGCAACAAGCCGAGCATCATCAACAAAGAAGTGAGAGAGGAAAGACTAACAGTAGACCCCTTGTATCTTATAATCAAAAGGAACATGGGGCATCTATAAAGAGATTGTATTGATGAAGCCAAATAATCAGCCTAATCTCGATGATCTTTCTGTTGTCATTTGCAAAGCTCAAGCTAACCAGAAGTAGCAGCCCAATCGGGACCAATACTCTACCTTAGAACCATAAAAGAACAGACTGGAAGTAGCGATTCGATCCGTGCCAATATTACTCTACCTTAGAACCATAAGAAAACAGATGGAGCTAACATGGCTCTTCTAGAAATGCTAGGCATTGGTAAGGGAACACATGAAGAGAAAAAATGTCTCAGGAAAGCATACTCAAAAGAATCTACTCACCAATGACCACATGAACTGGGATCTCTAAGAACTAAGCAGGTAAGCTACTTTACCATAGATTCTGGAAAGTCAGAAGCATGATACTTTTTGATACTGGATGGATGTGGTCTAGTGCCGATTTCCACAAGAGCAAAAAATGAAAAGATAGAAATGCTCATCGCCAAGTAACTGGTGTGATTAGCTTGGACAATTTCTAAAACCTCTTACATCCACAATCAGAAGCAAATGAAAACCTTTCTTCATATATTTAAACACCAACTAATAATATTGTGAAACATGTACCACCCAAACATTTAGGTCCAACAAACTAAAAGAGTTAGCACAAAAAGGGGAAGGAAAACTAAGTATCCACCTTGCCTATTTTCCCCTATCAAAACCAGAGGGTTCAAACCATTTGGACCCAAAGAAATGAATCCATTCTTAGACCACACCAAACTTCGCTGTACTTTCCTTTGTGAACCTTTAGAAAGCACTTCAGAAGGTAAAAAATCATTACAAAAGCCAATAGCAAAGAGGTAACAATCAGAAGCAAAAGCCCAAAAGCTACAGCTCAAACAAATATAGAAATAGAGGACAAACTTTCTATTAAGAACTCTGCCCAATCCCACCAGTGGCTACCCCACAAACAAGTGAATCAAACATTCTAGGAAGCCAGCAGCAGCTGGTTACCATAGCTATGCTACAACATATGTAAAAATGGTTCGTACCAAACATACAGTAACAAAAATAATTCCAAAGGTAATCACAAATATGGTATGAGAACAAGATGACAACAAGCACTGTATGGGTAGACCAGCAGATTCCCCACTAGTCATCGGGTTTCTCCCATTGAAAAAGAAGCTCTTGTTGAACCCAATTTGGCGAACTGATACTTTATTGCACTAGCCAACTGGTCACAACCAACCAAGTTGAACTCCTAGGGATAACCTTGCTAATATTAACCGACTGAGGTGATGCATGCCCCTAAGTATAACTTTGGTAATATTGATAACCTTCTTAATACTAACCAACTGAGGTGATGCCCCTAAGTATCAAAATGAACAATTTTTAACAGGCATTCACTTTAAATGCCACAGCCTTGCGAGAGTAAAGAGACTATGACCAAATGCAAAAGTAGCATCTGCAGCCAATAGGCAGATTATAGCATGGGCAAAAATACTATGACATTCCTCAAACAACTTCATATTTAAAACATCATTTCGATTCCTCAAAAATATAACTATACTATCCATCACTGGGCAAACATGAACCAATAGGGGACTGCATTAAAGTCTTGACTGTTGAGTAGCATGTTAAAATGTATTTACAATAATAAGAAAAGCTGCATAAGTGCACCATACTTCCAACTGATAAGTGTCAAACAAAGCATATTGTAGACTTATGACAGCACAAAACAGTCATAATTATGACTTAGGAAGCATTGCCATAGCTGCCTTATTCTTACTGAATCTAGGGTAAAAGTTGGCATTGTAAAATCAAATCAAGCTCAGTAACTGTTAATCTCCTAAGATATTTTCACAAGGAGACATTCAAGCAATACCACTCAATTTTTTAGATGGCATAAACTTCTTGAGCAGAAATGAACCTTAAAACGCAGATTCTGTAGAAAGACTTTAAGCTCTTCAACATTTTCTAGACAGATGACAGATTATGAACTGATATTCTATGAACTAAGCAAATAGTATGACCCAATAATCTAGCCATTCCATTTCTCTAGGTTTCCATAACCCAGAAACTAGTAGTAAGACCATCGCTCACTTGACAAAAAGGATATACTAGCACTCATAAGCATTCTCTTGCCCAAGCTTTAGTAATCAACATTAAAACATAATAAACGGAACTCAGCAACTGTAATAACACTTACATTACGCGCATCGCCATTCTGTGAATCCCCGTTAATTGATAGCTCCCTCTTCTTCTGCTCATGAGATGAGATTTCCTTACCCAGCTTACTCACATCACCATTCTTCCCAATCGCATCGACATCCCCAAACCTCCGTCGCTCCCGCCTAGGCCTCTCCACCTTGGGCAGAGGCGGATCTACGGATGCACTGACCCGCTTTCCCCCTTCGCGGCCGGGCTCGTCCCCGCTAATTGATAGCTCCCTCTTCTTCTGCTCATGAGATGAGATTTCCCTACCCAGCTTACTCACATCACCATTCTTCCCAATCGCATCGACATCCTCAAACCTCCGGCGCTCCCGCCTAGGCCTCTCCTCCTTGGGCGGAGGCGGATCTACGGATGCCCTGACCCGCTTTCCCCCTTCGCGGTCGGGCTCGTCCCCGTCGCCACCACCCTTGTGGCCCTTCCGCTTCTGCGACGACAACCGTGGCTCGCGGTCGGTGGAGTCGCGGCACTCGACGGACTCCCGTGGGCGGCTAGACGAGCGGTCCCGCTTCGACGAGGGTGGCGGGGACTCGGACGGGGAAACGGACCGTCGGTTCCCGCGGCGGCGGTCGTTGTCCCCGCCATCGCGGTAGCGGTGGCTACAGCTGTCGTCTTTGTCGTGATGGTGACGGTGGCGGCGGTCCTCGTCCCCGTCCTTGTCGCAGTGGTGGTGGCAACGGCGGTCCTCGTCCCCGCCGTCGCGCCTGTGGTGAGCGTCGGTGTCGTGGCGACTGCAGCGGTGGTGTCGGTCGTCGTCCCGGTCACGGGATCGGTGGTGCCCGTCATCGTCGCGAGTGCAGCGCGAGGAGAGGGGTTAGGGTTTGAGTTGATTCGCCAACGAGGGAGGGAGGGCTGAGAGGAGAAAGAGACGAAGGACCTGCGGTCGGCGTCGCGTGCGGGTTCCGAGTATTTATTTGTCTGAGCATTTGTAGGGACGACTGGTTATTGAGCCGCCCCTATAAATAGTAACACCGAGGGCGGCTGGTGAGTGAGCCGCCCCTACAAATCCGACTTATTTGTATGGGCGGCTCGTAACACCAGCCGCCCCTGCTGTTATATTTATAGGGACGGCTGGTCTCTGGGCTCCCGAGCACGCCAATGTAGGGGCGGCTCCATCACCAGCCTCCCCTAAAAAAATTTATCCCGTTGCTACCAACCGTTTTTCACGTAGTGCCATCTTTCTTTAAGGCAGCCGATGGTTTGCACCCTTTACCCCTCTCTTTCTCTCCTTCTATCTATTGTTATTGCACTAGCAGATGTTCTAAGACTCATGGTTTTATTCAATAGCAAATAGACGTGCTAGTTCTATGCCTTGGATCTGTTTTAAGTTCTACAGTCGTGTCACGGCGGAATGAAACGACGTGAGCACCCGGAGCAGCAAAAAGTTTGGCACACATGTGAGCCGCGTGCTCATGTCCTTATCGCCGTGTACCAAGACGAGTATGATTTGCTCAAAAAATGTGCAAAATGAGGCGACCGTGTGGGTCCGTGCCCGGCGTTCCCAACTGACGTGCGCACCACCATCACATGTCTACGTCGGAATCGGGAATCTCTTTTTTCCCCTATTATAGGTGTAGCCGTGTCATATATGCAAGTATATATATTTTTTTCGGAAACATGCATGGCACGTGTTTCGTTAAGAGGAGTTTAGATAAAACATTTACACGCCCATCAGCACTAGTTGGCGTAGCGTGCGGGTAAACACAAACACAAATCACCGTTCAACGGTGGGACTAAAGCTGTTGTACTGACTAAGGAAACAATTGTGCGACGTTGACCAGCAGAACGAACTTCACGCTGCGCTAGGCGGCGAGTGCTGCGAGCAGCGACGAGAGGCTTGTGAAGCCGGCCACAATCCAGGCGGCGTCAGCCTCTTCGATGATGAGATGGAAGAGCTTTTGTGGCGTCTCGGAAACCCCGTCAAACGTCCGGCGATTACGCTCCTTCCACAGGTTCCAAGTTGAAAGGACAACGGCTGAGTTGAAAGCGCGCCTGAACCCTTTCGGCAGTGTCGAACGCGCGTGCTACCACCACTCCCTGAGGTTGGCGTTCTGATCTGGGACAAGGTTCTGCAGCCCCACCAAAAGGAGAAGCCGGTGCCAAACTAAGCGTGCGAACGCGCAAGAACACAGGAGATGATTGGAGGTCTCGTCTTCCTGGGCGCAGAGGGCGCAGGAGGCATCCTGCTGCAGTCCATGGCGCCTCCGCCTATCAGCAGTCCAGAGACGGCCATGGAGCCTAACCCAGAAGAAGAACTTAACCTTGGCCGGTGCAGGCGCACGCCACAGATGCTTGGCTCCGACGAGCGGCGTCCTTCCATAGAAGAAACAACGGTACGCCGATGAAGCTGAGTACTTCACGTCTGCTATCCACTTCCAAACAAAACGATCCGGCACCGCAGGCTGGAGAACGACATTCTCGAGTTTTTCCCAAAGGAGGACATAATCACATAGGACCGAAGCAGTAGGCACCCCGGAGATGTCGCGTACCCAGGAGCGCTGCTCAAGAGCCTCCTTCACCGATCGGTTTCGGCGACGTCTCCCGATCGCTAGGAAGAGACTGGGCGCGAACGACGCAATTGGGCCCTCCAGTAGCCAGGAGTCCGTACAGAACCTTGCCGATGCGCCGTCACCCAAGCGAACACGAATTGACGCCTTGAACATTGCGTCAACGTTCTTCTCGGGGCCGCGAAGGCAGAAGGGCCCAGGCCGAGGTAGTGTACTGTAACACCCTAATAATGGCTTTTTTTGAAATAAGGTTAAAAAGATTTAATTTTATATTTTATGCTCATGAAAACATAGGTAAATAATAATTTTTATTAAATTGGAATTCATCATAGGGTTTAGAAACATTTTTATGCATTCATGTTGATGCATACTTATTTTTGTGATGAGTGGTTTTGTCCAAAATTTAAAATAATTTCAAATGCTTTTGAAATGGTTTGAAAAGGAATTTGAAAATAGAACTTGGAAAAAAAAGGAAAAGAAAAAAAAAGCAAACCTCACTCACTCCCTCCTCCCCCTTCTGGCCCAGCCGGCCCGCTCCCGCTCTTCCGCTCTCCCCTCTCCTCATCAGACCCGTGGCCCACTCCAGCTCTCCAGCGCGGCCTGCCTCCTTCTCCGCTTTTCTCTCAGCGCGTGGCCCAGTCTTCCTCCGTGGCCCACTACTCCCCCGCGCCTCTCCCGCAGGCCCAGTTCGCTTCCCGGCCCAGCATTGCCGCGCCGCTCCTCTTTTCGCTTGGTGACGCTGACGGGTGGAGCCGCTCTGTCAGCCGCATCCTCTCCTTCTTCCCCGCTCGAGTCCGCATCGGTCACGATCGCCGCTGTCGGAGTCCCCACTCCACCAACGCCTCGCCGCCTTGCCGTGCGTCTCAAGCCACCTGCTCTCTTAAATAGCAGCAGAGCACCGCCCGCGCCTCCCTATCTCGTTTTCGAGCCAGAGCCACAGCCGCATCGCCGAGTAGCTACGCCATAGCTAACCTAGCGCCGCCACAGTTGCCTCGCCGTGCGCAGCGCGCCATCGCTGTCCGCTCCGCGTCGCCAAAATCCACCTTGGTAAGTTCGCCTCGCCATTCTCTCTCTTTCCGTGTCTTTCCCGTGCAAAACCATGGCCCATAGGCTCCTCCCCAAGAACGCCGCCGTGCCGAACATGGCGCCACCGCCGTCAAACCTCGCCGCCGGCCGGCCACGCCTTTTCTCTCTCTGTGATTTATTTTCGTCCATCCAATCCAAGATCAAGGGCCAGGATTAGATCGTACCCCTTCGCTGGTTTATTTGCTAAAGAGACCCTCTGTTTTCTATAAATCAACCCGCAGTCCAAGACGTGTTTCCTGAATACGTTTTCCTATTCTGAAAGCGTAGTTTCTTTCTAATAGATTCAAAATACGTTTTTATTTTATTACAGTTTTGCCACTAGTTTTCTTTATGCCATAACTTCTCCGTTTTAACTCCGTTTTGATCCATTCAAGTTGCGTTAGATTCATAATTGAGTAATCTACATGTTCATCCTACTGTTAAATATATTTTTAACTTTTGAAATTCGAGGTTAGATTTAATCTATTATTTTATTAAAGAAAATCTTATTTAATTCATAACTTTTTCGTCATAGCTCCGATTAGAGTGTTTTTCGCGTCTGTGTGTTTGTAGTAACGTGTAGAACATCTTTAAAACATTTTTACCTGTTATTTATTATGTTTGGTGTATTGTTCTAATTTAGATCTATTATTTGCTTCATGTATGATTGCATGGATGCTTGTGTGGTGCTTTATGATCATGTCTAGTCGGTGAGCTTTGCGGTGATATAAAAGAAGTTGGTGATCCAGAATGAGTCCTTTGGATGCTCCAATTCAATAGAAGAAGGATCTAAGTTTAAGGCAAGTGTAGCATGGAATCTTCTTTATTGTCCTATTCACCTTAATATCATTTTAATCATATGCATATGTCTACCTTGACAACCGTAGTAATTTTCCTAGCTATTCAATATCCTAGATTCCTTGATACCTAAGAGGTATTGCATTAGGTAGTATGATGCTAGTGCTCAACTAAAGTTATGATCTTGTATATGCAATAAACACTAAAAGATGCTTTTTAGCAACATAGAATAAGGGGCTAGAGCATTGGGCTATTTTATGGTGCTCTAGATTCCTCTCCCCAATGACTTATCTGTAAGTAATCATCCGGGACTTACAGTACAACTGTGAGGGCTACATGGCTCTGGCTTTAGCTCAGTATGAGGACATTTTCTACCTTGTTAGTGGTTACCTTTACGACACAAGAGGGGCTACGACATGTATGACCTTTGCCTGCTAGGTTGAGTGCATTTTGGTTTCTTAACCTTTTGTCAGTCACTTCTTGGAGGAGAGTTCATGATTATTGATGGGAAAATCTAACGGCCCTAACTTGTTAGAAGAATCTTTGAAAGGCTTCATAGTGAACCCTACCGATCTTTCTTGGTAGTGGGTTAAGAGGATCGCGACATCGGGTGAAAGGATAAATCATGACTCACAGTGAATGTATACAACATCTGTATAGTGTAAAACTGGTATATTAGCCGTGCTCACGGTCACGAGCGACCTTGGAACCCTTACGGAATAGATGATGAACACTGATGATACTGATGATGAAGATGCTCACTTATTATTGTTGTTTATGTTATTCATTATTCATGTTTACCTAATCATGTGTTTATATGGGCTTGTGAATAAACTTGTTGCCACCCTATTGCTAAAATCATGACTCATTAAAAGCTAATCGTAGTTAATCAGTGTCAGCCTTTTGAGCCTCATGAACCCTATGTTATATTTGTTGAGTACGACATGTACTTACGCTTACTTTACTTTTTAAATATTTGGATAAAAATCCCGGATGGGTATCAGATTGCTAGAGTTTGGAGGAATTAGGCTTGTGATCAACCAGTCAGTTGTTCCTGTGAAATTGGAGTCTTTACCTAAAGATCAAAATTGTCTTTCTACTATTTGCTATATAAGGTTATATTGTTTATACTAAGTACGTTATATATTGAGCATTGTTTATTAATATTATCCTTATTTGTAGCTATATATGATATTTGACTTTCTGTACTCACATATAGTGTGTATCTGATTTTATTCTTGTAACCGGATGCTACATGTCCGTTCGCCGCCGCCACTCCCATTGAAGCCGAAGGGCGAAACCGAGCACCTTCGTGTCCAGGATGCCGAGGCCACCGTAATCTTTTGGAGAACAGACGATAGGCCACGCGCCGCATTTACCTCCCGTCGTGGATTGATTCCCGGTCCATAGGAATGC